AGGCTGTTAGCTATAAGAGTATTATAACTGTGATTAATAACCTCTAGTGTCTAGGAGGCTCACAGTCGAGCAATTATGTAATCTCGCAATAGGATCAAATTTGCAAAATTAACCTTTCAGGTTTGAGTAGAAAATTAAAAAAATAAAATCTATTTCTTTGAGTAGAAAATAGAAAAAAAATCTATTTCTTTGGTAAAAAAATGACTTGAATATATAGTTGTACTGATCAGCAACTTCTTTTTAGAATTTTTTGTTTATTACGTATTTTAATTCCAAGTTATTATTTTTAATATTACAGATTCTATGGATTATATCTTAAGGTAATTTTAAAAATTCCATGCATAACATTTAGGTAATTAAAGATAATAGACACAATTTTAAAAAGTGATGGCTAAATGGGGACCAGCAGGTGGCATGGTGGTAAAGGTGCTGGACACTCCCACATGGCTAACTACGGTTCAAGTCCTGAACCTGGTGGCTTGCTTTCTCACTTTCTTTGTCTCTCTCTCTCTGTGTCTGTCTGTCTCTAGTCAAAATAAATGAATGAATAAATAAAATAAATCTTTAAAAAAGAAAAAGAAAGTGATGGCTAGGTGAAGGCTCAGAAATATAAAAAATAGGTATGTGTTCATAGCACATTTAACTCTTTTATGTTTTTCCAATTGTTTTGTATATTCTTAATAGAAGAAGGATTAATTCTTTTAAGAATCATTTTACTTTTATTTATTGTCATTTTTTTTTTGTAGAGGTTTTTGCCATAGGACGCATGCGTTCACCAGAGAAACGAGAGAGAGAGACAGAGAGACAGCGAGAAATCACCCCCCAGAGGGATAGCCACGCCGCAATCCCTTCTCCTCCATTCTCCTCTCGGGATCTTGGGCCCGCACACACATGTGCACGGCGTGAGTTTTAAGCCACGGGTCCGGGACGCGAACCACAGTCGACTACGTGGGAGTCCAGCAACATAGCCATTACGCTAACTGCTGGTCCCTATTGTCTTTTTGTTTTTGAAGTTCACCAGAGAGAGACAGAGAGAAGGAAGGAAAGTAAGAAAGCAAGCTTCCAGGTCCAGAGCGGGAACCATGGTCACCTATGTGGGAGTCCAGCTGCCTTAACTACCACACTGCCCACTGACCTCAAGGAAGATTAATTTTAATAAGCCATTCAGAATATTAAAAGCAAAACACTATGTAACTACTAAATGTTATTTATGTCAGGGAAAAGTGGTGAATTATTTCACTCCATCCCAATATTTTGGAGGAAAAGTGAAAGACACTGAAACCCAGAATATGGAATTTGAACCAAAGGAAAAAGTTCATTGCCCCCGTAAGTATGCTATTTCTTGGAAAAATTCATTCTTATGTTAATCTTTGTTAATAATTCTTGAAATTCTTAGAGATAACCTTGCAATTATTATGCAGTTTTGTAATTGTCTTACAGTTGATTATGCTTTGGGTAAATGGATTCAGTTGCAGGTCGTAATATCTTAGTGTCAGTACAAAATGATTTTTTATTTAATTTAGTTTACAGTATTTTTGCTCATTATATTTAAATTTCCTTAGTTTACAATATAAACCAGGCTTAATTTCTTCCCAGGTACAGCTACTTCAAATTCCATTCACAAGAGAGTATTTCCAATACTAATATTAAGAAAAGTATATTTAAATTATTGTGAGTGCTATTTTGAATTGTTGCTTTGTAAGATTAACAAATTAAGATAATCCTTCTTTAAATTGTTTTTATTATAGTAATTTATTAATGTGTTGAGGTAATTTTTATTAGATATTCAAAATGGCACTATACTGTGATAAATCTTTTATTTTTTTTTTCTTAACACCGTCATCAGTAATACAGATTGGAATTAACTCAGTTTTACTTCTTTTTAATTATTTTGACTGAGTTAGCATATTTTTTTGTATTTAGCTACCCGTGTGATGATCCTGACAGCTGTAAAAGAAATGAATGGAAAAAAAGGAGTTTCCATCCTTTCTATCTACAAGTATGTCAGTTCTACATATAGGTATGATGTTCAGCGGAATAGGAGTCTTCTGAAACGGATGCTGAAATGTTTAATTTTCGAAGGTCTTGTGAAACAAATCAAAGGCCATGGTTTTTCTGGAACTTTTACATTGGGAAAGAATTACAAGGAAGAAGATATACATGATAAAACAAGAAAGCAGGTAACAGAGCTTAAGTTAAACTCTATTAATTACCTACATGTGATGCCTTGTAGGGTAAATTGACATAGCCCACCCTGACACCAGGACTGTTAAACTCTGAAGACAAAATACAAACTAGTTAGGAAAAATACTTACGGCTATGCCTTATGTTTTCTGTTTTCTGAATATAAGCTCCTGAAGAATAGAAACTTTATCTTGGTTGCTTTAAGCCCAGAAAAGAGTGGCCCATAAAAAATACTCAGTAAATATTTGGATTAATTATAAAATTAGATGGTAAGCACTGTTAAAGATGAAAACACCTTATGTGTGTATATATATATATATATATTTATTTTTTTTCAGGTTGTTTCCATAGGGCATATGCACTCACTAGAAACAGATAAGAAGACAGAGAGAGGGAAAGTGAGAAATCACCCCACACCAGGGGCATGGCCATGCCATAATCCCTTCTCTTCCATTCTCCTTTTGGGATTTTGGGTACATACACGTGTGCCCAGCATGATTTTCAAGCCACTGGGTCTGAGGCCCAAACTGTAGTCGATCGTATGGGAGTCCAGTGCCTTAGCCACACCATCTGCTGGCCCCCATTTTCTATATTCTTTTCATTCTATGAGTAAGTAAAAAGTTTACTCCAGAGCTGGCCTCATAGCCCAGTGGCTAAGGGAGCCAGATTCCACATAGACAACCACAGTTTGAATCCTTGCCCTAGCAGCTTGAAAATCACACCAGGTTCATGTGCATAGATGCCCCAGATCAGTACAGGTTAGGAAAATGGAGAGGCACGCCATTAAAGGGTGACTTCCCCTCCTTCCCATAAGTCTCTCTGCCTCTGGTCAGCACATGTACTCTCTGGAAATTAAAAAAGAAATAAAAGCTCCAGACTTTTGAAATATTAATAATATTTTGAGGCTGGCAAGTGGTATGGTGGTTAATGGGGCTAGATTCCCTCATGGTCAACCTCAGTTCGAGTCTCAAACCTGGCAGCTTGCTTTCTCACTTCCTCTCTCTCTCTCTCTCTCTCTCTCTCTCTGTCCCCCTCTGATCAAATTAAAACAGATAAATAAAGTTAAATAAAATAATTCTTTTTTAAAAAAAACCTTAAGTTTGCAAAGTACTTCATATATACTTTGAATCTTTTAAATAAATTCTCATTTCTCCCATGTCATAATCTTAGGAAATGTTTACATTTTGTTATAAAACTGTTTCTGACAAACCAATGATTTCAATTTGATATTAGAAAAATAGTTAAAATATTTGCAAGCACAAATCAAGAAAAGACTAGTGACAATAATTCAAAATGTGGACCTACCAGATTGGTTATGGGAAAGGAAAGAGCAGACAAAAAAGTTCATTTCCTGGAGGGAGTCTCCGGTATTCCCAGACAGCACAGTAGATCTCAGAGAGCTTTTGTGCTTGTAGTAATCCTGCCGCTACCAAAAAAAAATAAAGCCTCCAGTTAATGCCTTTGATTACCCATTAAGTATCCTCACTCCTCTGTTCAGCCTCAGCTCTGACCTCAGCTGGAGAACGCTGTCCCTGTCACCCACCTCCCATAGTACTTCCATATACTCCTAGGCATTCCAGTAGTGTTTTACTTTTTAACTGTTCTCACTTTTCAGTAGAACCCTTTGGGACCAAGGGCCATATTTGTGTCTCCAGCATCTGGGTGTTAACATTTCCTGGAACAGAAATGGCATCCAGTAAATAATTGTAAAGGGAGAACACACGTAGAAGCAGATAGGAAAGAAGGAATTTATATGCTAACTGCAGTAACTAATAGACTAATAAAGTTTTCTTTCTTGGATGCTATATTTCAGTACTTGGCATTTTTATTTTTGTTTTGTTTTCTTTTGTTTTGTTTGAGAGTTTTTTGCTATAGGGTGTGCGCACTCGCCGGAAAGAAAGAGAAAGACAGAGAGAAAGAAAGTGAGAAATTACCCCCCGGGGGGGATGACCATGCCACAATCCCTTCTCCTCCATTCTCCTCTCTGGATCTTAGGCACACACGCACACGTGCCCAGCATGAGTTTAAGCCACCTGGTCCGGGACTCAGACCACCGTCGACTACATGGGAGCCCAGCGACATAGCCATCACGCTAACTGCTGGTCCCATACTTGGCATTTTTATAATTGCCCTGATTTGTATATTTACATTCTCTCAACTGCTCATCTTTTATTGACTTAGGCAAACTGTAAATCACAAGAAGTTAACACCAGATTATCAGTAGCTCTTAATCTTTTTAATCTTTATTCTTTCCAAATCTTACTTGTGCAGTAAGAGTTTTCCTTTTTTTTGGAATGTACAGACTACAAAGAATGTTATTACAAGGGCGGGGTGGAAGCTGCTTACAGGAGTGATAATCCTCAGGGAAAGGGGAGTGGGAGCAAAGACTGGCTACTGGATTTTTATGTAATGCACATGTAGAATCTCAAGAGTTTACTTGCAGAAATATAACTATATTTAAATAAACGTATTAAATATTTTTATAGGCAGTAGGGAGTCCAAGAAAACTTCAGAAAGAGTCCAGAAAATCAGGGAACAAGGACACAGATTCTGAATACTTGCCGTCAAACACCTCTGATGATGATGATGACCCTTACCATTACTACTATAAGGCAAGGAGGACTCGTAGCAAATTGAGGAAAAAATCTGTCCCGCCCACAAAAAAAGGAAAAAGTCAACCTGATATCGATCCTGATTCACAAGGTCATTGTCTAGCTACCAGTGACTCTGGGATTACTGATGTTACTATGCCTGAAAATACATGTACCTCTGAGATCAAGCAAGAACATCAAGCCAAGGACCACATTGACTCTGTGAACCCTGCTGGTAGTGATACACCGCATTCTGATATTGTGAGTCCCTATAACACCTCTGACTATCGCTTTGAGTGTATATGTGGTGAACTTGACCAGATGGACCAGAAGCCTCGTGTCCAGTGCCTGAAATGCCACCTGTGGCAACATGCAAAATGTGTGAATTATGAAGAGAAGAATCTGAAAATTAAGCCTTTTTACTGTCCCCACTGCCTTGTTGCAATGGAGCCAGTATCAACTAGAGCAACTCTGATCATCTCGCCCAGTTCCATCTGTCACCAGTGGGTGGAGGAGATCAACAGGCATGTGAAGTCATCTTCTCTTCGAGTTTTGGTAAGGCAATTCTTTTCTGACACCAGAATTTCAGAAGTTTGCATTTGAGTGTAAAGATGCGAAATCTTTTTTTTTTTTTTTTTTTGGAGAGGTTTTTGCTATAGGGCATGTGCGCTCACCAGACAGAGAGAGAAAGCGAGAAATCACCCCCCAGGCGGGATGGCCACGCCACAATTCCTTCTCCTCCATTCTCCTCTCGGGATCTTGGGCACGCACGCACATGTGCCCAGCATGAGTTTTAAGCTACCGGGTCCGGGATGTGCACCTCAGTCGACTACATGGGAGTCCAGCGACATACCCATTATGCTAACTGCTGGTCCCAAGATATGAAGTCTTTTTAAACAATTCTTGGCTTTATAAATGAAGAAGTCATGGTATAAGCATTTATATTCTCAGAGAAAATTGAAGCCCAAAGGCACCTTTGTGTAATAGTAGCTACTTGTTAGATCTGTCACCCCTTAGCTCCAGAATCAAACTCTGAAGTCTCAGTTACCTCATCTGTAGATTAAGAATTCACTGGGACCAGCAGTTAGCACAGTGGCTTTGTCGCTGAACTCCCATGTAGTCAACCATGGTTCGAGTCTTGAATCTGGTGGCTTAAACTCATGCCGGGCGTGTGTGCGTGTGTACCTAAGATTTTGATAGGAGAACGGAGGAGAAGGGACTGCAGCGTGGCCATCCGCCCTGGGGGGTGATTTCTTGCTTTCTGTCTCTCTGGCAAGCACACATGCCCTATAGTGAAAACCTCTAAAAAAAAAAGAATTCACTCATTCAACATGTAATTGACTAAGTTCATATTATATGCTAGGAACTATGCTAAGTTCTGAATATATCCAGTCAGATTTGCTATGATCAAATGATTTGATAGAGGAGCTAGGACATAGTGGTTATTTCTTATTTACTGTGTTGGTACTTTTTGCTTTTTCTCCTTTCTTTTCATACAGATATTATTGAAGGTTTTTTATATTCCATCCATTCTCCTAGACGTGGAGAATATAGTAGTATATTGAGTACTAGCTCTGTTTTGTGTGACTAGGCAAACTTTGATTTGAGTCTTAGCTCTATTGGATTTGAGCAAGACACTATATTCTACATGTGTAGGATAAATATAACTACTAACAGGATTATTGTTGAAGTTTGGAGATAATGCTTAGCACAATGTCTGAAACATTAAAAGCATATGTAAGTAACAACTCATCGTATTTTTCATACTATTGCTCTTTCACACATGCTGTTAATTCCTTCTCTCTCTCTGTAGTCCTTTTAAACTCTTTTTCACCTGTGAGAAAGGTGGAGAGAACCATTATCCTGCATGGTCCAAAGCAAATAGAAAGGACGCAATGAGAGTATAAGCGAGTGACTGTTACATTGGTCTTTGATGAACCTTTCTGTAATAACTATAACTATGTGGATTATTTCCCAGGTCTATCAAGGAGTGAAGAAAGATGGTTTTTTACAGCCCCATTTTTTGGCAGAACAGGATATAGTTATCATTACCTATGATGTCCTGCGTTCTGAACTAAACTACGTTGATATCCCACATAGCAATAGTGAAGATGGGCGCCGCCTGAGGAATCAGAAACGCTATATGGCCATTCCCAGCCCCCTGGTAGCCGTGGAGTGGTGGAGGATCTGCCTTGATGAAGCTCAGATGGTTGAATGTCCTGCAGTAAAAGTAAGACTTGAGGGTTGGGACAGAAAAAGGGGTAGGGATTAGGGGAACTTAAATAGTTTAGTACTTTAAGCAAAGATAACCCATAGCATTAATATTGGTCAAAAGTTTGCTGATAAACACTGTACATGTGCTTTTCTTTTATGCTATGAATTAACCCTTTAGAATTATGTTGGTACTCTCAATCATTGTTCTGTATGCAGTGCTCACATATATTTGGATAAGATGCTGGTATATGTGTGATTGCAGAGCAAAGTAAACTGTGTTTAGGGCTTTTCTGATTATTTCTGTTAACTGGACAGTTTATCGTGTAGGCTCTAAGAGGTTTAAGCCAAAGTTCACTTCAGTTTTTTATATTGGTGAGACCATACAATAGAAAATGTTACTTTACAGGATAGCCTTTTGATTTAGACAGTGTCATCTGTCTTTATTCTGCCTGTGCCCAATCTATAACCTGAACTGAATTTATGAATCCCGTCTATTAGCACAGTAGTTTATATCAGGAGGATGGAATGGTGTAGGGATATATCAGTCATTCAGGGAGCTTTTTCATTCTATGTTTGTTTGAACTACCTCTCCATTTGGGAGTGGTCACATGGCTGCCTCTCACTAAAAAGAATCCGTATGGCCCATTGGATATGACATTTTACATTTGAATATGATAACTACTAGATTTAAAAGAGTTACTTCTCATCTGAAATGTAGCTTTTTGTGGGCTGTTTTCATGAATAGATATATATGTCTGATTTCTGTGTTTTTTCTATATCTTTTTTTTCATTTTGTTTTTATTTCATACCAGGCTGCAGAAATGGCCCAGCGTTTGAGTGGGATTAATCGGTGGTGTATCAGTGGCACTCCAGTACAGAGAGGATTAGAGGGTAATGTATGGTCTCCTCACACAGTCCATTTATTTAGATAGCTCCATGGCCTGGCAGTTAAAGCAGCCTGATCCCACATGGCTGACCCTGTGGTTTGAGTCCTGGGGTGGCTCTAGAGACAACACTGGGCGTGTGTGTATGTACCCGAAATTTTGAAAGGAGGGAGAGATGAAGGAAAAGGGATTGCGGCATGACCATTCCCCACAGAAGATGCTTTCTCCACTCCATCTCTCTCTAGCTAGTGTACACACCTTCTAGCAAAACACGAGAATATTGGGTTGTCAGGAAAGTCATGAAGCATTTTTGCATAGGAAAATGCGTCATGACTTTCCTGATGACCTAATAAATAAAAGCTTAGTTTCCTTTTTGAGGAAACTGTATTGTTATGCTTATGCTTTGTTGAAATCTTTATTTAGGTGATTATACATATATTTATAGTTGGCTCCTAATAATTCTAAGCATTCATGTTTTCAAATAGAACTTGGTAATTTTTCTGTTTGTATATATGAGATATATGTATAGTAAGTAGTCCCATTGTCTTAAGTTAAGCAATTCTTTTATCTGCCCAAACAATGTTGCTATAGATCTGATTGAACTCAGAATTCCAAAGTGGTAGGTGGGAAACAGAAAAAATTTGGGCCAAGAAACACAGGTAGAAAGGAATTAATTTCATTGGCCATGTTAAAAAAATATGGACTATTATTTAGTGGAACCATAATTTTCCTAATTGTGTAAGTTCTAAAGTATTAATAGCTCGTAGTGTCAAACCGTATGCATATATCATTGTTCTTTCAAACATTCCTCTTAGACATTTGGATTCTGTCTAGTCCTCTCCTCCTTTCCACACATGCATTATAATGATGCTTCTACATTAATCTTATTCAGTAACACTTTTTCCGTAGAACAGACACTGGTTTGTTTGTTTGTTTCTTTGTTTGTTTGGAGAGGTTTTTGCTATAGGGCGCGTACACTCGCCAGACAGACAGAGAGAGACATAGAGACAGAAAGCGAGAAATCACCCCCCCAGGGGGGATGGCCACGCCACAATCCCTTCTCCTCCATTCTCCTCTCAGGATCTTGGGCACTCACACACACACACACACACACCCAGCGTGAGTTTAAGCCACCGAGTCCGGGACTTGAACCGCGGTCAACTATGTGGGAGTCCAGCGACATAGCCATTACACTAACTGCTGGTCCCCAGACACTGTTTTTTAAAACCTTTATGCAAATTTTAAATATTTAAAGTTTAAGTAAATTTTTTTAATAATTATTTATTTTATTTTATTTATTCATTCATTTATTTTAATTTGACCAGAGAGAGACAGAGACAGAGAAAGAGTGAGAAAGCAAGCTGCCAGGTCTGGGACTCGAACCATGGTCAGCCATGTGGGAGTGTCCAGCACCTTAACCACCACGCCACCTGCTGGTTCCGTAAATTTTGTTTTATATCATAAATTTCCTGAAACGCTTTTTTTAAAATATAGTTAAATGGGACCAGCATTAAATGGTTAAGCTGCTGGACTCTTATTTAGCCAACTTAAAACTCACGCCAGAAGCATGTACATGCATACCCAAAATCCTAAGAGGAGGATAGAGGAGAAGGGATTGCGGCGTGGCCATCCCCCTACAAGATGATTTCTCTCTTTCTGTCTCTCTGTCTCTCTGGCAAGTGCACACACCTTATAGTAAAAATATCTCTCTAAAAATAAAAGTGTAATTGAATTATAAAATGTAAATTTCCTTGGAGTCCTAGGGTAAATATTCATCTCTAAAACTTATCTTCCTGAAAAATCCCAGTTTTTATATATTTGTTTTTAGCAAGTTAGTTTATCAGTCTGCTAAAACAAAAATACCAACATCTAATGCTATGACCTAAAGGAGGGGGTTTTAGGTATATTATAAGTATATATTTGAATATTCACTTAATTTTTGTTATGTTAAATATTTATAGAGTAATATTGGACTCATTAAAAGACCAAAATTTGTGATCAGCTGTCACATTCAAAAACTGCCAAAATTATAGATATATAGGTATTAATACGATCTCATTCTCCTCAAAAATTAGCTGAACACATACAGGAAAAAGTAAATGACTATCAGAGTTACTTTTTCTAATTTTAGTTTTGGAAGAATATGAGCAATAATTCCTCAGTTTTCCCTCGATAGTTTTTGTTGGATATGTTGGCAATTATTTTAAACACTTGTCACTATTCAACAAATTCTTAAGTAATTTTTTTAAGTGGCATTATTGTTGAGTTGTTTGAGCTTCATTGAGGTAAAAATGCTTTATAATAGAACTAAATATTTAAAATGTGCGATTTGGTGAATTTTGACATATATGTATACTCATCAATCTATTTCCACAGTAAGATAATCACCCTAAAGCTTCCTTTCCCCAAGTCACCTAAAACGCTTTTCCAAACTTTCTGGCATTTTCCTTATCTTTCTCTTTGCTTCCATTACTCTGCTACTTTTAGAACTATGATTCTTCCACCTACCATTGTTTTGTTCTAGTTGTTACAGTGGTAATGGCCTGTCTGTTACTTACTATGTTGTATTTACAAGTGGAAGTTTCTTTTGTTTTCTTTAATGTTAAACCAGGCTTCCTCAACATTACTCTATTGAGCATATCATTCTTTTCATTGGGAGCTGTCCTGGCATTTTAGAAGTTTAGCTTCCACCCACATGGTAGTACTCCTGGAATTCTGGCACCCACTAATGTCTGCAGACATTGCCAAACTTCCAGTGAGGAGCAAAATCATGAGACTGATAGATATAAATAAGATTTGATGATTAGCCATCTTGTAATCTCATATTGGCTGTGTGTTGAGCAAGGAAATGAGGCTCGAGTTCTTTCATTCCATAACTTGCCAGGCCATTAGAATATATCTGCAGGCAGGCTGAAAGAATGTTGCCTACTTAGAAAATCAAATAAGCAAGAATGCTGCCCACTTTTTCCATTCCCCATACCCCATGTCTGTATATAATATCCTTGTTTTTGTACTGTATAAAGCCTTGGCGTTGGGGAATATATAAACCTGAGTTCTCATCCTGACTAAATTAGTGATATGTCCATGAACAAATTACTCAAACATTTAAATCCTTATGATAACTGCTTCCACTTCTGCTCTTGTTGTTTCTGTTTTCCACTTATGTAGTCAATTTTACTTTTTTTTTTAAATGTTGACTTTGAGTAACTTACATTCTTTGTGGTGCATTCATTATTTCATTTATTCTGGGTGAGATATAATGATGATGACCAAAAATCAACAAGATTTCTTACTTTATTGAACTTGTAGCTTGGAGTGTAAGATATATTTATTAAGTACGTGGGTATTAGATTTGTAATCAAGATAACGTTCCTAAATGAGAAAAATTTGAAATTCTAACTATATCAGATTTTATAAAAACGATAACCTGGTGGGTCAGCAGGTGGCGTGGTGGTTAAGGCACTTTACTCCCACATGGCTTATCACAGTTTGAGTCCCAAACCTGGCAACTTGCTTTCTCTTTCCTTCTCTCCCTCTCTGGTGAATGTATGTGTCCTATAGCAAGTTAAAAATAATAATAATAAAATTAAAGAATAATTATTTTAAAAAAAGATACCTGGTTCTATGACATCTCGTAATAGGGATACAAAAGAGAATGACAACTCAGCCAGAGTTTGAAACATCAACTTGAACTTCACAGAGAGGGTAGGGTCCAATTGTCCATTGTTAAGGAAACAGAAAATATGAACTTTGATGGTAGGACAAGACCGAAAGAGTACAGAGAGATAGAGAAAATGTGTTGCGTTGAAGGACTAAATTGGTGGTAGATGGGCCATAGAAGACATTGTAGGTTAGGATAATTTTACATATTATCTTAGAAGACAAGGAGCGATTAGGAATTACACATAGTGGTTGGGAATCATCTTGCAGTTAGTTTTTTTTTTTTTTCTTTAAGTTTTTTTTAATTCTATGTGTAGAGACAGACAGCACCCCCAACAGTTCTGATTCCAAGATCAACCTCCATCTAGCTCTGTCCACCTCTGCCTAGCTCTGGATCATGGGCACACATATGCCCAGAGGACTCAGGGATATCTCCAGACTTGAATTGGGTACCTTCGCACGTGGGGTCCCTCGCAGAATGTCACACTTGATTACCACTGTGTCACCTCTGGCCCCTGGTTCACTTTACTACGTCTGTGCCACCACCTGACCCCTGGTTAAACTTGTATTTTAAAAGATCGTTCTAGTTGTAGTGTGGACAGTGGTTTAGAAGGAGGGAAGAATGGGACCAGCAGTTAGCAAAATGGCTATGTTGCCGAACTCCCGTGTAGTCGACCGTGGTTCAAGTCCCAGACCTGGTGGCTTAAACTCATGCTGAGGGCATGTGCGTGCATGCCCAAGATCCCGAGAGGAGAATGGAGGAGAAGGGATTTCATTGTGTCCATTCCCCCCCCACCCCTAGGAAGTGATTTCTCATTTTCTGTCTCTCTGTCTCTTTCTGGCAAGCTCATGCACCCTATAGCAAAAATCTCTCCAAAAAAAAAGGAGGGAAGAATAAATATTAGGGCACTAATTGATTGGCTATAATAGTAATCTAGGCAACTGATGCTTTGGATTTGATCTAGGGCTATTCTGTAGAATTAGGAAAAATTGGATAAGGAAAAATTAACAAGGCTTAGTGAGAGATAAATTGATGCCAAGATTTCTGATTTGGGTAAATCTATGCATGATGACAATATTTGCCAGTGAGTAACATTAGGGAGAAGCATGTTTGAGTGAAAACATTATGAATTTGATTTTGGCAGTTTGTGTTTGAGGTCCCCTTAGGACCTCAAAGAAGAGGTAGCATATAGGCAGTTTGATAAATTCAACCTGGAAATATAAATCTGTAACAAGTTGAGGTAGGTATGCATTGGTTCTTTCAGACGTTACTACTTCCCGTGAGCTACCAAAGAAACTTAATTTAACCTTAATATTTCCTGGCCATTTTCAGAATAGATGTGCAGATAGGGTCGTGGTATTTTTTTTTATGGCTATAAAGAACATTTTTTATGACTTCCATAATTAGATATTAGTATATGCTGTGTAATTTCTGTGTAAGTGCTTATCCAAAATAGTAATGAAGAAATTAAAGTACTCTAATTCTTAACGTGCTTTTGTCTCTTTTTCTTTTCAGATCTTTTTGGGCTAGTGGTCTTTCTTGGTATTGAACCTTACTGTGTCAAACATTGGTGGGTTCGACTTCTCTATCGTCCTTACTGCAAAAGAAACCCTCAATTTCTCTACAGCTTTATTGCCAAGATACTGTGGAGATCTGCAAAGAAAGATGTGATTGACCAAGTCAGTACAATAAGTTTTATTGATCAATTTTAAGATTTTATGATTAACAGTATAAGAGAAAAGAAACAACTGGGATGGAAAGTTGAATTTTCAGGAAAGTCTTTTTTTTCTTCTTACAGATCCAGATACCACCTCAGACTGAAGAAATCCACTGGCTCCACTTTTCTCCAGTGGAAAGGCATTTCTATCACCGTCAGCATGAGGTGTGCTGCCAGGATGCGGTGGTAAAACTCAGGAAGATTTCTGACTGGGCTCTGAAGCTCAGCAGTCTGGACAGAAGGACTGTCACCTCCATCCTGTATCCGCTGCTGAGGCTCAGGCAGGCCTGCTGCCACCCACAGGCTGTGCGTGGGGAATTCTTGCCACTCCAGAAAAGGTTTTTTTATCACTTTCCTTGTGCCACAATTGATGATGTTGTAATAAGAAACAGTATTTAAGCAATTAGTTTCTGGACACACAATTTCTTACAAGGACTTGTAACTGAGTTGTCAGTTATTTCTAATGATTCTTTTTTCTTTGATAAGGAATTTCATTTGTGAGAAAGTATCACATCATCAAAATAATTTACACAGTTTTGCACATTTCTTTTAAAATTAAAGGTATTGGTAGTGTTTTTTTTGTTATTATATATTTAGGGGTTTTTTTTTTTGGTCAATATTTCAAACATGAAAGGCTTTTGGGTTCTGCATTAGGAAATTAGATTCTCTTTAAATATTTTCTTTATAATTGCACTCATTTTATCTTTTGATCATTCCTTTTGAAAACATTAAGGGGGAACCAGCAGTTAGCCTAATGGCTATGTCACTGGACTCCCACGTAGTCAACCACAGTTTGCATCCCTTACCCGGTGGCTTAGAACTCAGGCCAGGTGCGTGTGCGTGCGTGCCCAAGATCCCGGGAGGAGAATGGAGGAGAAGGGATTGCGGCGTGACCATCTCCCCTGGGGGATGATTTCTCGCTTTCTGTCTCTATGTCTCTCTCTGTCTGTCTGGCAAGCACACATGCCCTATAGTGAAAACCTCTCAAAAAAAAAAAAAAAGAAAACAGTAAGGAATTTTTTGCTGTAGTACTTTTTGGGCCTATAAAATACTTTGTGAATCAGATTACAACTCCGGAACTGCTCTTTTTTATATACCTGGTATTAAAAGAAACCTTTCAGGGTGCTATAAGTGGTAGAAAGGGGATAGATTATTTTCCCTTAGACCAGATTGTAGACCACTAAGGGAAGTAACAAAAATTATAAAATTCTAAAACACAAGATGAACATGATAAATTTCATCAGAAGAACATACAAATTGCTATTAATAATTAAAGTATGGAAATAATTTTTTATGACTGATTAAGATTATATAGTCTTCTGGTGGAAATGTCATTTGACTTGTTCCTTAGAGGATCTTCATCTTTTTTACAGATTAAAAAAAAAAATTAAAAAAAGTCATGTTCCAGGAGACTAAGTGGTTAAATTGTAGTGCTGGGATTCAGTCTCAGTCACATAGCAACACCCATAGTGTTTGAAATATAATAGGTTGTACTTTGTAGTTGAGGAAGATTTTCCTAGTTCTAGTCTCCCTTGACAAAATGTGGGGGAAATCTTTAAAAATGATGGGTTCAGATAGAAAAATGCTTACTGGAACAGTAAGAGGTATTAAGTTGAAAGCAATAATGGTAAAAATGAAGGAGAGGAGAAAAATGCCAAAGATACTGCCAAGACTCAGTAAGAGGCTCATGATCTTGTATGATCTAACACTCCCAATGAAACAGTACCCAGTTTTCTGTCTAGTAAAATGGTCCTCCTTTTCTTTTTAGTACCATGACCATGGAAGAGCTGCTGACATCGTTGCAGAAGAAATGTGGCACAGAATGTGAAGAAGCCCATCGACAGCTAGTCTGTGCCCTCAATGGCTTAGCAGGCATTCATATCATTAAAGGTAGAATGTGATTTCTTTGCTGTCTCTGATTCTCCCAAACACTTTCTGAGGAAGGTTAATTATAGTAGAAATCAAAATTCACAAAAAAGTCAGTCTCACACATTACTGATCATAACAAATAGGTTCGACTTATGTGAAAGCAGTTATATAGAACATTTCAAAAACCTTCAAAGTTTGCAAGTTCAACCAAGCATTTCCATTTTTAGAAGTTCTTTTTTAAGAAAATGAGAGGATAGGAACAAGATTTAGCTGTAAATTACTAATCTTAGTGCTTTATAGTGAACAAATGTAAATAACCAAAATGTCTAGAATTAAAAGGATGCCTAGATTTTAACATAATCAAGAGAGTATTATTCATTGATTTAAAAATAATATTGTTATTAAGTTCATTTTTTTAAACAAATATTTCTGTGCCAGGTATGATCTAAGTAAAGATAATACAGTAACAAAGTAAACTCTGTTTTGTGGACCTCAAATTCTTACAGGAAGTGACAAACAAATATACACACCTACACTCAAACACGGTACATATGTGTAAAGTATTAGCATTATATATTATAAATCTGGTTAGAAAGATCATCTTACATTTACATAGAAGGGTATTTTAATTGGTTATTTTCCATCTCTCAAGTATCACTATTATTGTTACCCAATGTCCAGTATCTTACAAACTGTCATTTCATTTATTTTGTCTGTTATTTGTGTTGTTATCTAAACTGAGGAGCGGGGTTTGGGACACAAATCTATCCTCTTGTTACTCTGTCATGTCTGGAAACAGAAGTTATACAACTAGCACTTTTAAGCACCATTTACTTTTTCATGTAAATATGGGAATCTTTAGAACTGCATTCTATAGGTTCAAGAATAAAGATTAAACATGTTAAGTAGAGCTACTGAAAACATAAAATAAAGCTTTTAGAGGTGAAAATTTTGGTGTCTCATAGGACAGTAGGGCTGGCCCCAAACCTACTGATTGGGGGAGTCATCCCACCTGACTGATCCCACAGTCTAAATCTTGGCTCCAGCCACTTGAGAAACACCCTGGGCATGTGTATGTACATGCCCAAAATCCCAACAGGATGGAGAAATGGAGGAGAAGGAATCATGTTGTGACCATGCTCCATTGGAGGTGCTTTCTCTCCCGCTGTTTCTCTCTGTGTCTTAGTAGGGACGCTGGTGCTTGATTTTGGAGGCCACAGTAAAGGGTCTGGGTTTGCGTTCCAGGTCTTGCTGAATATACCAGCTATGCTAATGATCCTTGCTTGTTTCTCTAAGATTTAGTATCACCTTTCCCTGCAGTGAAGTTGTGTATGATTAGAAGGCCATTTCAAACATTGCCACACTCTAGCCGGATCACTGTATAGTAAGCTCCTCCATGACAGAACACCATGCTGTTATGTAATGGAAGCTGCGTCACTAGTCTTTTCAGATGGTTTCCACATTGTATTCACACTATGGTTCTTACCTTTCTGAGGATGCAATTGCAGCAAATCATTGTGTGTTTATTAAGAAAAATTTCTGCCAGAAAGCCCATTAATTGAGCATATATATGCAATTTATAAACTTAATTATAATGGATTTGCCTGTTTTTAGTTTTCTTTGCTTAATTTCATAGTCGTTCATTAAACAATTCCCGTTTTTAAAAGTAACATTACAGGGACTAGCAGATAGCGTAATGGTTACATCAGTGGACTCCCATATAGAGGACCGTGGTTCAGGTCCTGGGCCCGGCAGTTTTAAATTCACGCCAGGCATGTGTGCATGCATGCCCAAAATCCTGAGAGGAGAATGGAGGAGAAGGGAATGGTGGTGTGGATCCCCCTGGGTTTTTTTTTTTCTCACTTCCTCTCTCTCTCTCTCTCTCTTTCTCCAGCAAGCACACGCACCCTATAACAAAAATCTCTCTCTAAAAAAAAGTAACATTACTTATCTAACTTACATAATCTAGACTCTTCTAATGTGTCATAATTAGACAGTGAAAAATCCGACTTTTAAACAAAATCTAAAATTAATTTTAAACCATTAAACAATTCAAATACATGGGGACTTCACAAAGTCTATGAAAAATTGAATTAGAATATGAATTTGTTGTGATGCAAAAGAATATTGTAATCCATACCTAGTTTTTTTCATGACACCTTTTCCACAAGTTTTTTGAAGAACTCCCTTACATATGTCTGATACACAGTCTTAATTAACTGCTGTTAAACACGTAATATTATTCCAGTTTTGGATAGTTTGTTTTCTGCAGGTACTTTTTCTAGAAAATTAGTTTGGCAATATTAAATCAAGTATAGTTTATTTACTCAGAAATGTTAGTGCCATCAAGTGGCTAAGAGTGGATATTCACAAATTTGTTTAAACTTTTAGAACTTAGTGAATGTACAGATTTTTGTATCTTGCTCAGAAATCATGTCTTTTTTTTTTTTTTCTATAGGGTGCATGTGCTCGCCAGACAGACAAGAAAGAGACAGAAAGAGAGAAATCACCTCCCAGGGGGGATGGCCACACCGCAATCCCTTCTCCTCCATTCTCTTCTCAGGATCTTGGACACACACGCACATGTGTCTGGAGTGAGTTTTAAGCTACCAGGTTCGGGACTCGAACCGCGGTAGACTACATGGAAGTCCAGCGACATAGCCATTACACTTACTGCTGGTCCAAATCATGTCTTTTTTAATAGCATAAGCAGGCATTACAGTGCATAGTTAAAATTCAGCTGCTTATATTATAGCTTAATAATTATTCCTCCTCTAAAAGGTATAGTAATTATGAAGGGAGAATCATTAAATTACTTATTTTCTGTAATACTAATAGCTAGTATAATGCTAATAGAATCCATGTGTTTTGGAAAGCTTTAGTCAGAGCCAGCCCCATAACACAGTGGTTAAGAGACCCAGATTCCACATGGCCAACTGCAGTTTCAGTCTCAGTCCCAATGGCTCAGAAAACATGCCAGACATGTGTGCATGCATGCCCAAAATCCCAACAGGATGGCAAAATGGAGGAGAAAGAACTGTGCTGTGTTGACATCCCACGGGGGGCGGGGCATACTTTCTCCCTGTTTCTTTCTGGGGACCACACATGCCCTGTATCAATTTAAAAAGAAAACTTTAGGGCGAGTACGTAGGATGGTGGTTAAGGCACTGGACTACCACATGGATGACCACAGTTCAAGTCCTAGTCCCAGACCTGGCAGCTTGCTTTCTCTCTCTCTCTCTCTCTCTCTCTCTCTCCCCCCCCTCTCCCTCCCTCCCTCTCTCCCTCCCTCTCCTTCCCCCTGTCTCTCTAGTGAATTAAAAATAATAATAATAAATAAAGTTAAATAAATGATTCTTTTTTTTAAAAAAAAAAGAATTTTAGTCAAGAACCTTTACAAAATTAAGAAAACTTATTACATGAAGATAATCTAGTGTTATTGCCACATTATGATATGATTTTATTACTGTGAAAATAACTTTCTCCCTCATCAAAGTGAATAGAAATAGACTAACTGAAGTGCTGTGAAAATCGCTGTTTTGGAAAGCTTTGTGTTAAGTAACTAATGTAACTAAATATAAAGCAACAGTGTGAAAGTAAATAATTAACAGTGTGGATGTACATCATACCACAACACACTTAAAAATGGTTAAAATGCTAAGTTTTACAAATATTTTACCACAATTTTTAAAAATATATGTATAGAAATGTTTATGCATGTGTGTGTTTTTGTGTGTATACTGATCATCTGATATACTTACATGTGTGTACACACACACACACACACACACCAGCTCTTTAACAGAGAAAAGAGAGAAACAACTACAAATTTATAAAGTGGGGTGTGTGCACGTGTTTTCATTATGTTACCTATGTTTGTAATTTACCAGTTTTGAGTTTTACCCCAAACAGTAAATAATGTGGATTTGTTATTTAAGCCACTTAATTTTTCTTCTCTTTCATTTCGATGTCATCAACTTTTTCTGTACAGACCTAAATAGTAAATGTTTGAGTCTTGTGAGCCACAGGATACCTGTACTACATTCAGTTCTATTTAGTGCATAAACAGCCACAAACAATACATAAACAAGTGAGCACAGTGGCTTCTAAAAATACTTTCTTTATGGACCTTGAAATTTAATTTCATCTAAATTTTATATGTCAAAAAGTATTATTCTTGGAGCCAGCAGGTGGTATAATGGTTAAGGTGCTAGACTCCCACGTGGCCAATGGCAGTTTGAATCCCAGACCTGGCAGCTCACTTTCTCACTTTTCTTCTCTTTCTCTCTCTCAGTCTCTCTCTCTTGTGAAATAATAATAAATAAAATTAATTATTGAAAAATATTATTCTTCTGAAAATTTTTCTAAGAACTATTTGCTTAATTTTTCTTTATTAATTATGTGTTTTAATTTCACCAGAGACAGAAAGGGAAAGTGAGACAGCAAGCTGCCAAGTCCAGGACTTGAACTACAGGTGGCCATGTGGGGGAGTTCAGCACCTTAAACCCACACCATCTGCCAGCCACTTGAATTTTCTAAACTATTTAAAAACTATAAAAACCGGTTTTAGATGATGGGCCTTACAAAAATGTAGAGGGTCAGGTATGGTCTGTTGGTTCTAGTTTGCCTGCCTGTATTTTAATCGATACTGTTTGAATCACTTTATGTGAATGAACAATAAAGATTATGAACAGAAACAACACATATTTCAGACTAATTGTGATTCGTATGACCAGAAATGGAGAAAATTTCTAAGTCTTGGAACTGTAGTTTTTAATGGCAGATTATTTTGGCCTCATACCAAGAACAACACTAGCTGCCTAGTGTCATCAGAAGTCATGATGCATTTTTGCACAGAAGAATATGTCATGACTTTCTCAACAACCTAATATTTTTCTGAGAATTATGTGTAGGATAGTTATCATGTCTCGAATGTTTATTTATAAATGCCTATCATTACCCAAATTTGTCATTAATTTGTGATGTCTTAATGACTACTAATTGGCATGCTTTAACTTCAAGAAAAGGAAAATTATTTGCCTAAATGTAAAGTTAATCTAGAGTTTGTTCTTCAGTATGATTTCAAAACATTGTAAATATAGTTGCTAATCCAAAGTTTGTTTTTTAGTATAATTTTTTAAATTCATTAATTTCTTCAATGAGAGAGAAAAGCAAAGAGGCACCTCTCACAGGAACTTCATGCCACAACCCACCCCCAGCTTTACCTAGCCAGGATCGCATGTGCCTGCATACTCAGAATGTAAATAGACCTTAGGATGCCAATCCAGGACCTTCCCAGGTGACTTCAGTATCACAGAGCATTGTGTTACCTCTGTGTCACTACCTAACTTTAAAACATTGTGAATATAGTAGAAAAAAACAACATATTCCATGGAGTTAACAAAAGGGAACTGGTGGCCAAACACAGGTAATACATGATATTCCATGAAGTTATCTCACATGGGTAAGTTCCTGGTTCAAATCCACAGGCCTCCCCTAGTATGCTGGGCACACATTTGCCTATGATCCAGGGCTAGCTGAAGCTTGGTGGTGGATAGTGGCATCAGGATCTTGTTTTTGTTGTTTGTTCATTTGTTTTGCCAGCAGAGAGACAAGAGGGAGAACGTATCTCCCAATAGAATATGGTCACACCAGTTTCTTCTCCATTTTTTTCATCCCATCTGGATTTGGGGCATACATGTACTTGCACCTGTTTTGTTTTTCAAGCCACAGGGCCAGGATCAAACCAGTCAGCCATGTGTGCTCCAGGTCCCTTAATCACTAGGCCACAGGGCCAGCCAGCCTTGAGACCTGGTTGAGGGTGTTGTCCTTCTCTCTCTCTCGGAGTAAATAAATAAACTTTTAAAAAAGAAAAAGAAAATCCATCTGCTATTATTAGCTTTTTTAAAAAACTGGGTAATCATATTAATATCAAATCAAATCCCTTTACTTAAAATTAGTCGTACTCATTAGATTATATTATAGTACACATTTGCAGCAATCATAGATAACTAGATGACATTAAGAGCTAAATATGTGACTTTCTTATACCTTAAATACATTTTAACTCTTTAGGTGAGTATGCCTTGGCAGCTGAACTGTACAGAGAAGTTTTGCGCTCATCTGAGGAGCACAAAGAAAAACTCAAAACTGATTCACTGCAAGTAAGTAAAAGAAACAGTTTCAGGTGTGTATTCTATTTGTATTTTACTGAGTAATTGTTCTAAATATTTAAGATCAGGGTAACAAATAGAATGAGTCCTAGTCACTGAAGATGAAGTTTAGGATTCAACCTTTCAATAAACAGTCAAGGTGATTTACATAAACACTAAGGTTTGAGAATCACTGTTGTTCTGTCTCCTTGACAGGATCAGTTTCTAGCCTACATTAAGCAAATAGCTCAAATTATTTCTACTTCAAAGAGTAGATCAGTTTTTATCACTTGCATATGGACATTAACATATTTACATAGTTTTCACCTCCCAAAATTACTTATGATTAATAATGGAACATAATGAAGCTAGTATATTTTTTAATTATTTACTTAAATATACATATTTATTTATTTATTTTAATTTGCTACAAGGTACACATGCCCACCAGAGAGAACAAGAGAGTATAAAAGCAAACTGCCAGGTTCAGGACTCAAGCTATGGTCAGCCATGTGCCAGTCTTGCACTTCAACCACCATGTTGCCTGCCAGTCCTAATGATTTTATTTAATTTTTAGAGGTCTTTTATAGAAATTTGAATATTAAAATTATAATACTTATTTCTTGGTTCTGAACAGTGAATCATTTAGACAAGACCTTCTAGTTAAATGGGAAATAAAGATAATTTTTTATGAGTCTTGTTATGTTTAGACTTGATTCCCAGGTGAGATGACTTCTTTACTATTCAGAATATAGACTTTGAAACTTAAATATTCGCATGTGCTGAAGTGGTTATTTGAAGGAATGTTTATGGGAGAGTGATAGAGTGATTAGGGAGAGAAATGATTAGGGGGATACAAAAATAAATATAAGGGTATGTATATTCTTCATGGAAAAGGATTACAGAAGACAGGCCCCGGACTTTAAGCAAGTATGTTTACTTCATGAGAGAAGAGTAAATACAGGGAACAAAGGTAGAGGAGTGGGCAAGGAAACAGGGAAGTTCAATACACCTGAGTTCAAGAAGGAAGAGTAAGCAGTCCTCCTGGTTCTTGCTTCTGAGTCACAGTGAGGTGAGAGACAGTTAAGCAAGACTTACTGAATATGGCTTACTCCAGCTAGTCAGTCAGTTACTGTGTCCCATTGCGCTGTAAGGAATGAGAAAGAAACCACAATTATTCACCCCATTTTGCCGTCTTGTACAGGTACTAACAAAAGCACACATACAAAACAGATTCTACTACTTCAGTTTTATTTGTACTTTTTCTTTTGCTATTAAATTTGATAGTGTTACTATCTATGAAGCCATGTTGGAAAGACCCAAGATATTTGAGATAAATTATTAGATTGACTCTACAAAGATTTGTACCATGGCAAGGAAATTGTAGCCAACTAGAAGGAGTCTTGAAAGTTTCAAATACTGGAACTGAATCAATCTTGACCAGAAGAACTCTTTCCTGGTCATCCTTAGCCCTTAGCTGTCTTCCCAGGTCAACTGTCAAGTTAACATATACAAACTCCTTGTACTTTACTTCTTCTCATCGTCCATGATTCCAGAGGGAACTTGTAACCAGCTACATACTCAGTATCTCAGTAAGAAGATTTTTATTATATATAATACACAATATAGCTCCTCCCCTTTTTGGCCCCTAAGTTCAACATCTCCAGATTATGACCCTATTTTCTCATGTATTTCACAATCCTTATTTTCATCATCATACAATTGCTAGGCTCACCCAGACTCATTTTCTGGGAGTAAAGGAATCAAGTCCGTGCGGTCAGCCTTTCTACCATTTGAGGCTTTCTTGACTTAGTCTCACTTCCCTGTAAAGACAAATACATGTATAATAGAAGAAATATACCTACCTTACATATTCTGCTTATTGCATAGCTGTACTGTGTAAGGCTATTTTTAATTGAAGAAAATTTATTTCATCATGATTTAAGACCTTTGCTATAGGCATAGTAGTTAAGGCACTGGACTCCTACATGGCCAACTGGTTCAAGTCTCAGATTGGCAGCTTGCTTTTTCACTTTCCTTCTTTCTCTCTCTTTCTCTCTCTCTGCCTGGTGAGCCCATGTGCCCTATAGCAAATTTTTAAAATGATAATAATAAAATTAAATTTTTTTGAAAAAAGACATTCATTATTAACGCTACATCTTTTAAAAAAAATTGGTACTAAAATTATTGTAGAGGAAAAGTATTCAATGATATGATACTGAAGTGATGTGAGTACCCTGTGCTACATTAATAATAGGTTCTTAATTAATTGCCATTTGTTTGTAGAGACTTCATGCTACTCATAACTTAATGGAATTGCTGATAGCCAAGCACCCAGGGATCCCTCCTACGTTAAGAGATGGCAGACTTGAGGAAGAGGTAATTTTTATTTTCTTTTTCATTCTCTTTATAAAAGTATATTTTTTCAAAATTTATGCTTCATCTAGTTGATATTTCCAGGAACATACAATATTTAAATAAATATAACCATGTTTTCCTACTGCTTTGACATGGCATTCCTTTTGTGTCCTCACATGGCTTTTTCCTTGTATGTGTACATGCCAGGTGTGTCTCTTAAAAGAACTCTAGTCATACACTGGATTGGGGATCTGTTCTTAGCACCTATTTAACCCTATTTAACCTCCTTAAAGACCCTGTCTCCAAATAGTCACATTAAGAGGGCTTTGACATAATGAATTTGGAACATAATTCAGTCCATAATACCTGTGTTACTATCTGTTATATGACCTTTTCACAAGTATTATGTTAAAACTGCATTAGCTAGGGAACCAGCAGTTAGCGTAATGGCTATGTCGCTGGACTCCCACGTAGTCGACCGCGGTTTGCGTCCCAGACCCAGTGGCTTAAAACTCACGCCGGGTGCGTGTGCGTGCGTGCCCAAGATCCCAAGAGGAGAATGGAAGAGAAGGGACTGCGGCGTGACCATCCCCTCTGGGGGGTGATTTCTCCCTTTCTGTCTCTATGTCTCTGTCTGTCTGGCAAGCGCACGCACCCTATAGCGAAAATCTCTCAAAAAAAAAAATGCATTAGCTACAAGAAACTATAAGTTAGATGATTTCTGAAAGGTGTCCTTGCTTTGCCTCATTACTTAAAATATTACTGTTTTTTCTTCCTGTGTTTTTGCTAACTAAAAATCTAGTTAGAAATCTGGGGGATAAATTTAGGGATTTCTTAAATTTTGTGACTTGGGCAGGTATATTTCATTGTCTTCAATATATATAGATTAGGAATTTCTAGCATGGGTTTTATGTTCTGTACAGTATACTTACAGAGTTGGATGTTTAAATTAAGTAGCTTTAGATACACAAAATGACCGTATTGTCTTGAAACATTATACTTATTTTCTAGAAATGATACAGAAATTTGTATTTGGGACCAGCAGTTAGTGTAATGACTATGTCACTGAACTCCCATGTAGCTGACCGCAATTCACATCCCGGACCCGGTGGCTTAAACCAACACCGGGCGCATGTGCATGCATGCTCAGGATCCCGAGAGGAGAATGGAGGAGAAGGGATTGCGGCATGGCCATTCCCCCTGGGGGATGATTTCTCGCTTTCTATCTCTCTGTGTCTCTCTCTGTCTTTCAGGCGAGCGCACCTGCCCTATAGCAAAAAGAAAAAAGAAAAACCTCTCCAAAAAAAAAAAATTTTGTATTTGTTTTCTTTTTAAACACAGGCCAAACAGCTGCGAGAGCACTACATGAGCAAGTGTAATACGGAAGTCACCGAAGCCCAGCAAGCTCTGCAGCCTGTGCAGCAGACCATTCGCGAGCTCCAAAGAAAGGTACTTTCCCACGGGCAACGTTTCCACTTGTGTTTGTCCTCAGATACCATTTTGGCTTTTGTTTTGTTGAGGGTGAATCTTGAACTTCCTTATTCATCTTGGATTTCTAGGCACCTAGTACAGTGCCTGACCACGTTATGAGTGTACTGGCTATTAACAATGTTTATGAGTTGAAGAAACAGATACACAAATATATCAACTATAGTGAGGTTCTCTATTATTTATTTTATACTATAATAGGCTTTCTGTATCTTAGGTATATGACAATTATCTGTTGAAAGAAGTAAAGACTTTTATCTTTTTTTTAATCTCAGGCATAGATGCTTCCAAAATCTTTTTAGATGTTAGAGCATTAGAACCACAGTTTTTATTCTTATACAATGCATGTCATTTGTCGTTTTTGTTTTGTTTCATATTTTGTTTTGTTGTTTTTTGTTTGTTTGGCCATAGTGTGCGTGCACTCACTGGAGAGAGAGAGAGGGAAAATGGGAAATCACCCCCATGGGGGATAGCCATGCGGCAGTCCCTTCTCGTCCATTCTCCTCTTCGGATTATGAGCACTCACACACATGCCTGATGTGATTTTCTAGCTGCTGGGTCTGGTGCTCAAACCATTTGCCATGTTGGAGACCAGCACCTTCACCACTACACCACCTGCTGGCCCACTTTGTTTACTTTTTTTAAGTTAGTTTATTTTTATTTACTTCCTCCATTAGAGAAAGAGACAAAGAGACTGGTACCCCCAATAAGATCTTCATGTTGCAATCTACCCCCAGCTTCAGCCAGCCCACATGATAGCCATGTATGTACACAGCCAGCATGTACAGGGAGGCCCTGCTATGTGAACCTGGAATCATCCCATGTGGATTAAGTTGTCTTACCACTCCGTACCACCATTTTGTTCCTTGTTCCTAAAATTTCTCTTTTATGAAATCAAGTTGCAAAACCTAAAGAGGAAAAGATAACAAGTAAATACATTGTCTTTTACTTTTCAGTTTTTTAATCAGCTGCCATCCTTTTTGTTCTTCTTAATTCATTGTTTAGTTTTCAGGCTTATAATTCCATTAGTCATAGGTTATTCCTTGAGTACAGTCTAGTTCAGTTAGTCAAAGTAAGAATGAAGCCTTTTTATTACGCTAAGAAATATGACTAGTAGTATTGGATTTTTCTTTAGATAAAGTATTTTTTAGTACAGCTGTGTTATTCTCATTCATCCAGAGTAGTTAGAAAACAGATGGTCTATTTAATTATGTTTGCAAAAGAGATACTCACCAGTTGTCTATAGAGTGAGTGTGTGTATTTGTCTTCTCTGTTATAATCCTTTTAACAATAGCATTTATTGCTTCCTTTGAATTTTTCATATCACCCTTTCTACTCAAAAATGCATAGTGAGTATTAATAAAGTATTAATTGGTCAACCGTTGTCATTTTTACAGATTCATTCTAATTCTCCTTGGTGGCTGAATGTGATTCACAGAGCAATAGAATTTGCTATTGACGAAGAGCTTGTTCAACGAGTGCGAAATGAAATAACCAGTAACTACAAGCAACAAACTAACAAGCTTTCAATGTCAGAAAAGTAAGAAAATATAGTACAGAATTGAATAACTACATGAGTAATCAATCCTAATAATTCAGATCATTTGATATTAAGAAGTGCATTTAAGGGGCCAGCTTATGGCACAGTGGTTACGTTGCTGGAGTCTCAGATAGCCGACCGCAGTTCAGGCCCCAGACCTGATTGCTTAAAACTCACGCCAGACGTTTGTGGCCAATATCTTGGGAGGAGGATGAAGGAGAAGGGATTGTGGTGTGGCCATCCTCCCAGACGGTGATTTCTCACTTTTCTTCCACCATCTCTGTCTCTGTCTCTCTCTGTCTTTCTCTATTTCTCTGTGGTAGTGCATGCACCCTAAGGCAAAAACCTCTTTTTAAAAATAGTGCATTTTAAATATCAGAGCATGCTGTCATTGTGAGCATTTGTGTTTTACATTATGTTAAGAGTGCATTTCAAGCAAAAATATTAGATGTAAATCTAAAGGAGAATTTCCCCCTATATTTTAGCCATTTTAAAATAATTTCTTTTCAGTGCTATTTTTAAATTTGCTTAAATTATTTTCTTTGCTGGATATACCTAAAGCCAATTTTTTGGAAAACTTTGAAATAGGCTTTGTTTTGAGGAATTTCATACTTGATATAGGACATTCCTTCTTCTGTATATGATTTAGGCCCAACAAACCAGCCTCAGAGTACCACAGGGACTCAGATTTTACATTGTTGAGTTCCCTGCTCTCTCTTCTCTTCCTGTCTTTATTTTCATCAACATTCACCATTCTTTGGAGTCTTCAAAAATAAGTTGGCCCATTGCTCTTAATATGTAAATGGTAATTTATTCTTTACAAAGAACAGATTTACTATTTATCAAACCTTTCCTCAGTACTCTAACCCAAAGGATGTCTGTCTAATGTGAGGAACTTAAATGTTGTAGAGCTGTCGATGCTAGGTAGGAGGACAGAGATCACTTCCCCACATAAGATGTCAGTTTTCAGTGAATTCAGCATAAGAATATCTTTAAAAAGTTTGAAAGTGTTTTTATATACTCTTCTGAAAGCTTTTCCAAATGTCTGCCAAAAGAGGGATGCCACATTTTCCATTTATTTTCCTATAGTCATCACCTTTTTGACCATACAAAACCTGACATCCTCTTATTTCTGAGGTATATGCTGTGTGTGTGTGTGTGTGTGTGTGTGTGTGTACATAAGTGTACTTCTTTTTTCCTTATTAAGCCCAAGAACCACTGTTCTAAAATAAGCTGCCATTTTAATCATGATTCATTATATCCAGCTTTAGTGCTGTATCCTAATACATTCTCCAACATTTTAGAATCAGCTAAAAAAAATATAGAAATTATTTTGAAGGTTTTTTGTTTTTTTTTTTAATTATTACATTTGTTCTTTCATCATAGAGCATGTTTGCATCCAGGTGACAGAGAGAAGCACTCCAAAAAAGCTTGGCATGCTGTAATCCTCTTCCTTCAGTCTTCTATCCCCCAGGATCCTGGGCTCGCCTATGCATGCCCAGCATGTTTTCATGATAACTGGGCCAAAGACTTGAACCACAGTTAGCATGTGACTTCCAGCTTCACAGTTCAATATGCTGTCAGTCAGTTGCACTGCAGAAGCTGGGCCTTGAAGTTTTTATTAAATTACGTAAATACTTCTTTAATACCTGTAAACTTAACACATGTAAATTCTTCTCTTAGAACACATCTTTACTGATGTTTTGAGATACCAGGGTTGTAAAAATTATAAAAGGAAATAAAAGATAACCATTTATTACACAAACATTTCTTTTCGTAAATATTAGACATAAATAGAAAATAACAAAATGCATTTTAAAATGTGTAAGGGTGAACATATAGGTAAATTAATTGTATTAAAAATTACTATATATCCTGAGATTTCAACATTGTTGTCTGTCTGTCAGTTAGTCATGACTTATTTTTTTCTGTGGTTTCCTATACAAAAATGCATCATGACTTTTCCGACAATCACGTAATTCCTCAAAGGCCAAAGTTTTCATGTCTGCTTGTTGATGATTATAGAGAAAGGCTGTGCACCTCAGTGATTAAGAGCATACTTCCCTACTCAGATCACTGTTTTCTTGTCCCAACTCCAACACAGGAGCTCTGTGCCCTTGGTAAAGTTATTTAAACTCTCTGTACCTTAATATCTTCCTCTATAAAACCACACAGCACTGTCATAAGAATTAAATGAATTCTTATTTGTAGAGTACTTACTTAGATTAGTGCCCATCATATACTATGATGTGTAAGAGTTATCGGCTGCTATTATTTTTGTCTTCTCTTTGATTTAAAGGACC